CCACCGCCTATCAAATACCAGTTCAAAACTAAAGATCCCGTACCAACACCACTAAAATCAAATCTTGTCTATCATATTCTTACAGCAGACAAAAATACCGATTGTTATGTCACATAGTAGAGTCGTGTCATAAGGTGGAAGCTCATAGTGAAGGTTATTGCGCAAGAATATATTCAAGGCTATAGTGCAGGACCATGGTCAAGGTTATTGCGCAAGAATATTCACTGCTATGGTGCAAGAATATACTCAAGGTTATTGTGCAATATTCCTTATATAAATAGATCAATTTTATTGTTAAGAGGAGAACTTTTTATTTGTGAATAAACGTTAGGTGAGAAAGATCTCAGTTCACACGGGAACCTAACAGTGGTGCACTAGCCGGTGTTATTGTCAGTCTACCAGCACAATAACAAGACAAATTTCAGAAAGTTCTCTTCGTGAGCCTGGACGTACTGTCTAGTGGAAGATTCGATATCGACTATCGAGTCTATATAATTCTAGTAACGATGATGACGAAGAAGAATACTCAGCAACACATTCCCACTCTACAACATCTGGTATAACGCTAGCAACAGTCCGCAAACATTGTTTTCATGATCAACGCATGCGTGACTTTGCCAGTTATCTTCAAAATACAGCATATCGATTTTTGCGAGGAAGAAATCATGTGGCCTGAAGATGGTGAGATATGGTATGATCATCAAATAAAACAACAGCGTCAACAATTTATTCGGATAACACCATCTCATTCACATGATAATGCAAAACTAAAACAAATAATAACAGCTGCTGCTAGTAAACAACATGTAATAACAAAATTAGTAATAAATACAAATAATCCTCAGCAAAATCAACTAGGAGTGGAACATGAGTCGTTGAAACCACCACAAGAAAACCGCAAGCGACAACAGCCTTCATGGCTCCAACAACCAACACAAAAAACTGTTGAACAATAGTCAACAAAACAACCTTTATTTTTAGGTACTACAAATGGCGTTTCTTCTAATCAAATTGCACAGAAGCCTCAGCAGTCCTCCAGACAAACAACGTATCCATTCTGTGGGCCCAAATTAAAATCCTCACTTGGTGGGAGTTGGATACTCAATACTTGGTTCGTAATGTCATTGTTCTTATTTATGTTAGCCGGTGAATTATTACCGGGACCAACACTATCGATAGCTGATGATTATGCACATCTTGTTGAATTAATTGTGGCAATTATTTGCGTGAGCATTATGTCTCGACAAAGCACACAAGATGGTAGTTTGTTCAATTCTAAAAATATTCAAAATACAGCTGGTAATACATAATTCAAACATAATTCACATAATTATGTATTTATTTGTCAGAAAAGTAATAAACCTAATTTTGCTGGTGCAGTAGTGGTATTGGTCTAATGAATCATGATGGTGGGAGCTTCATGAATAAGTGATCAAACTCCAACAGTTATAATCCAAAACTGATGATCAAACATAGTGTATTATGAAAAGAAACATCAAATATCCAGCTATTTGTTATCTTACACTGATAATGGTGGCAACTCATGCAGTTCAGTTTGCTGGAATGAACGTGCTTGAACCGAAATGTTCGCTCAATCATAATGGTAGTGGCAGTACTGGAACATTGAACATCAAAAGGACCTTTAAGAGGCATTTAATTTTCGATGAGCGTGGAAGTTCATCTTGTTGCATGGTGTGAGGTGTTATATCACGTAGTAGAGTCGTGCCATGAGGGGGAAGCTCATAGTGAAGGTTATTGCGCAAGCATATAGTCTAAGTTATTGCGCAAGAATATATTCAAGGTTATTGTGCAATATTCCTTATATAAATAGATCAATTTTATTGTTAAGAGGAGAACTTTTTATTTGTGAATAAACGTTAGGTGAGAAAGATCTTAGTTCTCACACGGGAACCTAACACCGAT